AGCCATTAAACTGATAGAAAATGTGGGGTATTTGGAGCATTTATTTTTTTAATTGAAGATGCTACAGTTCAATGATTTTCTTAAAATTAAAAACTCACAATTTATGTTTAAAGCTAGGGAAAAAAACTTCTTCCAAAATGCATACAAAAGTCTTTTGAAGAAAGAAAAGGTGGATATAATCTGAGAGAAGAACAACATTTTAGGAGGTTGAAAACGAGGACAAGTGTGTGTACGTCCGTATGGGATGTGAGTTTATGGAACTGTCCAGAACAGACTCTCAAACAACGTCAGGATATTAATCAATTTAAAAAGTTATATTTTATTTAAGGAATATAATGATTGAAAAGGAATAAAATGAGAAACACTATTTATTTTTGGCTATGTGTTATAAAGTATAAATGTACAAATATAGTCAAATATAATATGTCAAAGATGCCAAAAGGATGGAATAAGTCTCAGGTAAAGCTCATATAAAAAGAAGAGATACAGTTGAAGTCAGAATTATTAGCCCCCGTTAATTTTTTTTCTTCAATTTCTGTTTAACGGGGAGCAAATTTTTTTTCAACATATTTCTAAACGTAATAGTTTTAATAATTCATCTCTAATAACTGATTTATTTTATCTTTGTCATGATGACAGCACATAATATTTGACTGGATATTTTTCAAGACACTAGTAGTCAGCTTAAAGTGACATTTAAAGGCTTAACTAGGTTAATTAGGTTAACTAAGCAGGTTAGGGTGATTAGGCAAGTTATTGCATAGCAGTGGTATGTTATGTAGACCAGTGGTTCTCAAACTGTGGTACATGTACCACCAGTGGTATGCAGGCTTCCTTCTAGTAGTACGCGGAGGAGTAATGTCATATGTACATGCTACATATATTTCAAAATTTACCAACAATTGAATATGATGACATATAGCCTATATTTCTAAGGTCCAGGCAACATTTCCAGGTGTTGATAGTTGGCTATTATATGTTAATACTTTACATTTAAGTTCAGGAGTTTTTGAACTGTGCAGTGCTGTACTACTGAATTTCAATACTGCTCATTATGGTGGTACTTGAAGAGACAATCCTTTTCTGAGGTGGTACTTGATGAAAAAAGTTTGAGAACCACTGCTGTAGACTATCGAAAATAAAAAAAGGGGCTAATAATATTGACCTTTAAAATGGTGTTTTAAAAATTAAGAGCTGCTTTTATTCTAGTCGAAATAAATCAAATAAGACTTTCTCTAGAAGAAAAAATATTATCAGACCTACTGTGAACATTTCCTTGCTCGGTTAAACATCATTTGGGAAATATTTTAAAAAGAAAAAAAAAATCAAACTTTACCCCAATCTTAGAAAAATACCCATTGCAAGATTATCTATCTGTCTGTCTGTCTTTTTAATAAATTTGACATTACATTTAGACAACTGTGTGGCAAGAACATTATTGGATTTGTTTTACTGTCTGTCAGTCTGTCTGTCTATCTATCTATCTCTTTTAAAATATATACATTAGTTACATTATTTAATTACTTTATGTAAATTATAATACTATACAATTGTTTAATATATTTATATAAAATTATAGTTATATTCTTAACTACAATTGCAGACCTAAATCTAAGCCATTATTCTAGTCTTCATTTTTTCAGTTTTTTTTTTGTTTTGTTCTAAAACGTATTTTATTATTATTATTATTATAAGCATTGGGACATTAAATAAAGTATTAATGCAAATTCAGACACAAAATATATCCAAGATCCTTACAATAAATTATAAATTATAATTTTAATATAATATTTTTTTAAATAAAATTAAAATAATAAAACAAAAACATAAAAAATGAAAATAATAAATAAATAAAAATAAATTATAACAGATTAATGAAAGCAAACGTGTAAAGTTCACTTTTTGTAAGTGTTGTTTATTTATTTTTTAAGACGCCATTTATTTATTTTTTTCCTACCAAAACGAAAAACACGCATGCCAATTTCAGAATATTTACGTAATTAAAGTAGATGCTGCCATCTAGTGACTCATGTTCACATCACATGGATTTTTAAGTCCAATTGCTGGCATTCAGATTCATTAATTTTCTTTTAGCTTAGTCCCTTTATTAATCAGGGGTCGCCACAGTGGAATGAACCGCCAACTTATCCAGCGTATGTTTTATGCAGCGGATGCCCTTCTAGCTACAACCCAGTTGGAAAACATCCATACACTCTCATTCACACACACGCACACACTATTCAGTTCAATATAGCGCATGTGTTTGGACTGTGCGGGAAACCAGAGCACCTGGAGAAAACCCACAGTAACACGGGAAAAACATGCAAACTCCACACAGAAATGCAAACTGGCCCAGCCAGGAATTGAACCAGCGACCTTCTTGCTGTGAGGCGACAGTGCTTACCACTGCGCCACCATGTCGCCCGAAGGTTGCTGGTTCGTGTCCTAGCTGGGTCACTTGGCATTTATGTGTGAAGTTTGCATGTTCTCCCCTTGTTGGCGTGGGTTTCCCCCACAGTCCAAACACATGTGCTATAGGTCAATTGAATAAGCTAAATTGTTTGTAGTGTATGTGTGTGGATGAGAGGGTATGGGTGTTTCCCAGTGATGGGTTGCAGCTGGAAGGGCATCCGCTGCATAAAACATATGCTGGATAAGTTGGCGGTTCATTCCACTGTGGCGACCCCTGATTAATAAAGGGACAAAGCTTAAAAGAAAATGAACGAATGATTGTCAGCCAAACCATTCATAACACTCCAGCAGGTGGCGCTGCTGCACTTGCTGTCTTAATTTGACACACACACACACACACACACACACACACACACACACACACACACACAGAGAGAGAGAGAGAAAGAGAGAGAGAGAGAGAAACAAAGTGAACAAGTAATAACAGCCTTTTATTAAATGTTATCGACACTCCAAATATCAGCAACACCAATTAGACAGAGACATGAATTACTTCTACAAACAAAAATATGCAAAGGTGTTTATCTGAAAATGTGTTTTTAAAAGAGCAGAAAATCCTGAGTTAAGTTATTTTTACTGAACTGATGGCATTTCTGACCATCTAACAAATATATAATAACAAATGCTCATTAAAAACAGGCAGTTTTGACAAACTGGAATATACAGTATCATTTATAAATGGTTGCATCAATTTATATGTCATAAATAGTTTCAAACACTCGTATAACCAACAACAGGTCAGATTAGTGTGATTTACCAATATTTTTGTGACTTTCTGACAATAAAATGACAACTTCTGTAAAAATCAGATGCTTGGTTTCCTCCTGAAAAGGTGTTTGTCAGTCCAAATATTCCAGAACATCTCTTTAAGGCACATTAAAATCCTCTCTGTGGAGTGAACTTGTTTTATTATTATTCCTAGTATTTCCTTGGGAAATCATTGACAATCTGTCTGTGCTATTTTAGTAAAATAATAAGATGTCTGCTAAATGAATTGGTTTATTATTAAAATAAAATAACAACAATAATAAAACACTTATGGCATCAAGAAAGCAAGCATCCATTGAGGTCACATGTAAAAATGATGGATAAAATTGAACATGTTGTACATATTGTTAGTACAAATTGATGCCATCTTGGAAGAAATGAAAATCACATCACTGAAAAATGCCTTTTTTTCTTCCCTGAATGTTTAACCTGTCTCTAATCCTGTCTGAAATCGCTAAGTTCATATAGAACTGCTTTGTTTGTCATCAAGAACAATCACTATTAATTAAAATGTAGTAAATTTAGTTACAGGTACGAGCTGAGAGGACATTTTACACCAACACTAACTTAAGCAAACTTTAACTTAAGCCTTTAAATGTCACTTTAACTTAAGCACCAGACTGAATTAAATCAAGTTTTTTTTAACACAACAACATAATAATAATAATAATAATAATAATCATAATAATAGTATAACTGTTTAAGATGGAATAAAACTAATTGAAGGACGAGTTACTTTGAAATAGTCCTTCATTTTTTAAAGAGATAGTTCACCCAATAATGAAAACTGACTCAATATTTACTCTCCCTCAAGTTTTTCCAAACCTTTATGAGTTTTTTTCTTTTAGAAAACACAAAAGTAGATATTTTTAATAAAGCTGCACACCTGTAACCATTGACTTCCATAGTTTATAAATCAAATACTATGAAAGTCAATGGTTACAGGTTTTCAGCATTCTTCAAAATATCTTCTTTTGTGTTTAATAAAAGTAAGACAGTCATAAAGGGTGTGTGAATGATTGTGAGTTGTCATTTTTCTGAAAACCGGTAACCATTGACTTCCATAGTAGAAAAAACAAATACCATGGAAGTCAATGGTTACCGGTTTCCAGAAAAATGACAATTCTGTCATTAACAAGCCCTTTATGACTGTCTTTTTTCCTTTTATAAAGTCATTTTTTCCAACATTCTTCAAAATATCTTCTTTTGTGTTCAACAAAGGAAAGTCATAAAGAGTGTGTGAATGATGACAGAATTGTAATTTTCTTTTGGAAACTGGTAACCAGTGACTTCCATGGTAGCAAAAACAAATACTATGGAAGTCAATGGTTACCGGTTTCCAGACAAATTACAATTTTATGATCATTTACACACCCTTTATAGCTTTCTATTTTCTTTTTAAAAAGTCAATGCTTTCCAACATTCCATAAAATATCTTCTTTTGGATTCAACATAAGAAACAAAGTCATAAGGGGTGTGTGAATAATGACAGAACTGTCATTTTTTCTGGAAACCGGTAACCATTGACTTCTAGGTAAATCAAATACTCAAAGTAAAATCAAAGTCAATGGTTACAGGTTTTTCGGCATTCTTCAAAATATCTTCTTTTGCGTTCATCAAAAGTAAGACAGTCAGAAAGGGTGTGTGAATGATGACAGAATTGTATTTTTTTTTCTGGAAACTGGTAACCATTGACTTCCACAGTAGCAAAGACAAATACTATGGAAGTCAATGGTTACCGGTTTCCAGAAAAATGACAATTCTATGATCATTTACACACTTTTTATGGCTTTCTATTTTATTTTTATGAAGATTCCAACATTCTTCAAAATATCCTCTTTTGCATTCAAGAAAAGAGAGAAGGTCATAAAGAATGATGACAGAACATCCACAGACGCCATTTTTTTTCTGGAAATCTGAAACCATTGACTTCTAGGTAAATCAAATACTTTGGAAGTCAATGGTTACAGGTTTTTCAGCATTCTTCAAAATACCTTCATTTGCATTCAACAAAAGTAAGACAGTCATAAAGGGTGTGTGAATGATGACAGAGTTGTCAATTTTGGGCGAACTATCCATTTAAGCCCTTTTGTAACCAAACAAGCTGAAGATTTTGTGCTAGAGCAAGACGACAGCAATGACTCTTTGGATGCCAACAGCTCTCTGTTCCTTCGTATATGGCTGTTTCTTCTTCTCATCAGTCTCACAGTTCAGCCCCTTTTGCTTCTTTTGTATGCATGCATCTGTGAGTGTGTGTGTGTGTGTGTGGGATCCCTTTTGCATTCCTCCAGTCTTCATCTGTCTTGGTAACTTTGCGATAACTCTCAGGAATTCTCTCCTTTTGCCATTTTTAGACTCGATCTCCATGTTTTGGTTGCTGTTAATGTTGTAGTGAGGCAAGCAGTTTTCAAACTCTGTCATCTGTTTAAAATAAAACAAGGGAGAGAAAACAAAAAGGGAGACGCCAAATAAATAACCAGGGAATAGTTAGTCGAGTTAAGCTGATATGGTTACAGGACATTAAGAGCGGGCATGTTAAACGGCACAGAGAGACCAGTGAAAAAGTGTTTGGCTCAAACACCAAATGTCAGCTGTAAAACTCTGGGAGATGGTCCTCAGCGACCTGTGCAAAGAGAGTCACAACATGTGCTGTTAAAATCAGGAGACACTCCAACAGGTTTAACCCTTGTGTGCTGCTGAGGATGTTTTCATCCACTCTGGGGTGATTTTAAGTCACACCTTTCTCTGTTTCAGCAAATGGAAGGATTTTTGGTGACAAAACTTATGCTTTGATTTGACTAAAATGCTTAGATTTTTTTTAAAATTTAACAATACACTCAAATTGGCCACCCTTTCATTATGTTCGGGGCTGTTTTTGCCCTATTGACTTCCATTATAATGACATTTTCTGATTGCAATGCCTTGACTCCATAATATTACATATTCTTTATTGTTGGTGGTTTTTCCTGTTGGGAAGAGGTAACATTATTGTCATTTTTAATGTTGATCATCAGTTGTAGAGCAAAAAAAGCTTACTTTATAGCTTTTTTATATAGTATAAGCCCCTTTCACACATACAGACCTTTCCGGAAAATTACCGGCAATTTTCCGGAAAGGTTGTATGTGTGAACAGGCCCTTTTTGAAAATACCGGTAAATTTGTTCTGGCTATTTTCCGGAAAGAGAAGTTGTAACATTACCGGCAATTTGCCGGAATGCTGCGCTGTGTGAATGCAGAAGGAAGATTACCGTAATAAGCGCGTACACGTCTAGAACGTGCTGACGTGAGACACCTGCTTTAGCCAATCAGAACAGTCAGACGCATTTACTTCCGCACGGTTTATGAGAATAAAAGCCTTTGAATATTTTTTCCAGACACTTTTAGCTGCTAGATGTTAGTCAGATAATGTTTCTATGTTCCTTCTTAATGCTGTGTAAATAATTATCGATAAAATGTTTATGATAATCTGTTGTTTGTTTACCTTCAAGCTTTGCGTGTGCCCGTGAGCGCCCATAGCGCCAGCACACACACATATCATGAACATCTCGACATGCGAAAATGTTACCCTATGTTTTCATTAGAGTTGTACTCAATACTGATCCATCCGAAGAGTTTGTAATGTAGTCAAATGTTTACAAACACAAGCGCAGCCGTTTAGAGGTCATTTCTGGCTAATGATGTCAGAATTTACGGGCATTTTGCGATGGATGTGTGAATGCTCTTTTCCGGAAAAATTCCGTAACGTCCTCGCCTGTGTGAACAGCGTTTTTTTGAATATACCAGTAAAGTAGTTCCGGAAATGTTCCGGATATTTACCGGTATCGCTGTGTGAAAGGGGCTATAGTCAGGGGCGGATTAACCAATAGGCATTATGGGCACAGGCCCAGGGGCCCGTGGGTGCTTGGGGCCCCTGCGAGGGGGGAAAACTGATTTTGTAGTGTCTATTTAGGTAAGTGTAAAAGTGCACCTCATTGGAATGAGCTAGTTGAGTGACTCCCACGCATTTGGTTGACAGAAACAACATAACTAAAGAGAGCGGCAAGCAGCAGAGTGAGTGGCGTAGCTCATAATACACATGGCAACATGTTTTGACACGACCGATCATGAACCTGGTCTGAATCCAGCGTCTGATGAAGTCATTCTTATTTTTTCCCACACTACATATCGGATTTTGTCTACTCTTAATCACGTTAAGACAAGTACGAATCATTAGTAAGTGTGTGTATTATGGAGAACTCAGATTCATAGAACTGAACTGGATTGGAGAGGTGTTATATCCAAATCGTGTGCATAATAAGTTTGTAGAAGTTATACATTAAAAACACTCTTTAATATAAATTTTAGTACTGCTTCAGTAAACCTGAACAAGTGCATCAAAATCCAATAATTTTCACTAGTTGTATTAGTATTTATTTTATCAAAGTGTGCTTTAAATGCTGTAAAAATAAGTGAAATCTTTGTAGACCAGAAATATATGTACTGTATATCATTTATTTTAAAAATGCAGGCAATACATTACAGATTAATTTTATTAAAATATATAATAATAATCTGGGCGAAGCAGTGGCGCAGTATAGTGCTGTTAACTCACAGCAAGAAGGTCGCTGGGTTGATCCTCGGCTCAGTTTCTGTGTGGAGTTTGCATGTTCTCCCTGCGTTCATGTGAGTTTTCTTCTGGGTGCTCCGGTTTCCCCCACAGTCCAAAGTGATGCGGTACAGGTGAATTGGGTAGGCTAAATTGCCCGTATAGTGTATGAGTGTGTGTGAATGAGTGTTTGGGGATGTTTCCCAGAGTTGGGTTGCGGTTGGAAGGGCATCCGCTGCGTAAAACATGTGCTGGATAAGTTGGCGGTTCATTCCGCTGTGGCGACCCCAGATTAATAAAGGGACTAAGCCGACAAGAAAATGAATGAATGAATGAATGAATAATATTAATCTTATTTTATAAATTTAACTATAGGGATGCGGCCAGGTAGTGGGCCTACAAGACATTGTGCCCATCGGCCTCAGAATTAATAATCCGGGCCTGAGTATAGTATGTGTGTCTGCATGTGTGTGTGAGACCTTTGTATACTTTCCTTGATATATCTGAGAAATAGGAAACTCTTTATAAAAGCCAGAACCTTTTTTGCACAGGCCTATCTAAAGGGTTAATAGTGCCAACTGATGATCAACAGAAAAACTACAAATTCAACCTCTTCCCAACAAAAAATGTGGTTCTAATGAAAGTCGATGAGGCTAAAACAGCCCCAAACATAAAGAAAAGGTAGTCAGTTTGAACAATACACAAGGTTTAAAGGTTTGGTTCATATAAGAAAGGACAATTCTGACATCATTTCCTCACTCTCATGTCATTCCAAACACTCTAGAAATGTGTTTATCTTTTAAACAGCTCCTGATGTCTGTCTCTTCAATGAAAGGCCATTCCACCAATGTTGGAATTTTTTAAAAGGTTCACAGAGAAAAAAAAATAGACTTTTATTTCAAACAATTGTGTCTGTATTAAATTCTGTTTACAAAAGTGTTTTATATACACACTCACTGGCTACTTTACTAGTACTGGGTATGGACCCCCTTTTGCCTTCAGAACTACCTTAATTCTTCGTGGCATAGATTTAACAAGATACTGGAAATATTCCTCAGAGATTTTGCTCCATATTGACATGACAGCATCACACAGTTGCTGCAGATTTGTCGGCTGCACATCCATGATGTAAATCTCTCGTTCCACCACATCCCAAAGGTGCTCTATTGGATTGAGATCTGGTGACTGTGGAGGCCATTTGAGTACAGTGAACTCGTTGTCATGTTCAGGAAACCAATCTGAGATGATTCACGCTTTATGACAAGGTGCATTATCCTGCTGGAAGTAGCCATCAGAAAATGGAGACACTGTGGTCATAAAGGGATGGATATGGTCAGCAACAATACTCAGGTAGGCTGTGGCATTGACACGATGCTCAATTGGTACTAATGGGCCCAAAGTGTGCCAAGATCCCCCACTCCATTACACCACCACCACCAGCCTGAACCGTTGATAAAAGGCAGGATGGTTCTGTGCTTTTTTTATGTTTCCAAATGCTGCAGTAGAAATCGAGACTCATTAGACCAGGCAACATTTTTCTAATCTTCTATTGTATAGTTTTAGGGTGTGGTCTTCTGCTGCTGTAGCCCATTTGCCTCAAGGTTGGACGTGTTGTGCACTCAGAGTTGCTCTTCTGCAGACCTCGGCTGTAACGAGTGGTTATTTGAGTTACTGTTGCCTTACTATCAGCTGGAACCAGTCTGGCCATTCTCCTCTGACCTCTGGCATCAACCAGGCATGTGCGTCCACAGCTCTGCCACTCACTGGATATTTCCTCTTTTTCAGACCATTCTCTGATGGTTGTGCGTGAAAATCCCAGTAGATCAGCAGTTTCTGAAATACTCAGACCAGCCCATCTGACGCCAACAACCATGCCACGTTCAAAGTTACTTAAATCATATTTCTTCCCCATTCTGATGCTCAGTTCGAACTGCAGCAGATCGTCTTGACCATGTCTACATGTCTAAATGCATCGAGTTGCTGTGATTGGCTGATTAGAAATTTGTGTTAACAAGCAGTTTGACAGGTGTACCTACTAAAGTGGCCAGTGAGTGTACATAAAAAGGTATCAAAGGGACATTATTTTAAGATATTTTAGCAATTGCTTCTCACCTTGTTAAACACTAAAGAAGACATTTTGAAGAAAGCTAGAAACCTGTGACCATTGACTTCCATAGTAATTGTTTGTTCCTATGAAAGTGAATGGTCACAGGTTTTCAGCTTTCTTCAAAACATCTTTAGTGTTCAACAGAGGAAATAAACTCATGAAGGTTTGCAAATAGGGTTGCATGATATTAGAAAAATCAGACATTTTGTATTTCTGCAATATATGTTGTGATACAAATACAATTTCACCAGATGAATTAAACAACCCTATTGGGAAACAATGTGTTAATTTAATCAGTATATATATATAACCCTAAACTATACAATCCCAACTCCACATTGCACATCCTGCTATGTCACAATAGGACCATTTCAATGTGGTGATGTCATTGGCCCATGAACATAACTGTAATAAGAGGCAATGGGGTATATGCCGAGCTAGTGTTGTTCCCATACTGATAAACTTCTGGTGACCTGTTATTGTGATTTTTTTTTTCCCATTTTATACGGTTTCTTTTACAGCATCGATGTTGTAATGTCATTAAATTACATTCAGTTAAATAAACTTTGGGGCGAGGCAGTGGCGCAGTAGGTAGTGCTGTCGCCTCACAGTAAGAAGGTCGCTGGTTCGAACCTTGGCTCAGTTGGCGTTTCTGTGTGGAGTTTGCATGTTCTCCCTGCCTTCACGTGGGTTTCCTCCGGGTGAAATGGGTAGGATAAATTGTCCGTAGTGTATGAGTGTGTGTGGATGTTTCCCAGAGATGGGTTGCGGCTAGAAGGGCATCCGCTGCGTAAAAAAAAGTTGCTGGATAAGTTGGCGATTCATTCCGCTGTGGCGACCCCTGATTAATAAAGGGACTAAGCTGACAAGACAGAAGGCATTCATTTAGTTGCTCAAGCGTAAAACGAGACAAGCCGTTTGCTCGCACGCACCTGTCAGAGTTGGCAGGCTAGCGCAGAAGCTTTATTGAATATACTGGGGTAAAATAAATGCTCATATTATAAAGACATGGTGGAAAAAATGTAATTTAATGCAGTGGTTCTTGTACAATCTGAGACCCACTTTATATCAGTTATCACTCAGTCAGTGGAGATCGCTCATTTTTAAAGGAAACAGACCTTAAACGTGCTGATTTTGCATTGGCATACAGTTGACCAGAAACGATTAACCCAGGTTAGTATTCAATCATAACCTAGTGTTAAAAAAGCTATCATAATACACAACCATTTCCCAATACAGCGCAGCCCTAAATGACATAATTCATCCACACAGAAATCACTTTTGGCCCGTTTCCACTGAGTGGTACGGTACGAGTCGGTACGATTTTATGCCCGTTTCTACTGTCAAAAGGTACCAAAAAATCAAACCGTACCGTAACGCTTTTTGGGTAACCTTTTTGAAACGTGAGAGTGAAGCATGAAAAAACAAAGGAGAAGCCCGAAAAAACAAGAAATTGATTCTTTCAGCAACCTAAAACATGAACAAACTGCCGTGTTTACTTATTATCATCGCCTTTTATTATTTAACAAGATGTTAACGTTACATGTGCTGGTGAAGAACAAAGATGAGAGGTTTGTACCGACTGTATATGTATCTTATCGTATATGAAACATATGTTTTGGGTATTTTTTTTTTTTTTGTAATTGGTAACATTTCAGAGACTGTAAGTTGTTAGTAAATGTTTTGTTTATTTCATATTATATATATAATCCCAGAAGTTACAGTAGGCTATTTCGCATTATTATTGGCATGCAGCTATAATCTATAAATCCTACTAATAGAAAGGTCAGTAATTAACATTTATTTATACATAAATATTTATTTGTAAGACTTGAGATACCACAAATACTTTGATGTCTTTTACAATTCAAATATTAGCTGGAATCAAGGAGGCTATCGGCTCCACAACCCAGAAGGTGGGAATGCTGAAAAACCAGCTGCTCTCCCTTCCTTCATTAACATTTGAAGAATCCCTGCAACCCCTTTGTTCACCCGCCCTCTCTACATACTGTACGCACACAGAATGGTCAAAGTCTGAATGTTCTAAATCAATCCAAGTGACTTTATCTATCATGTTTGATATTAATTGAAATGTTTCAGTGCGACTGGTACAATGCTCTGATTCCCTCAGACATAGACATAATCAAAACAATAGATATATTACTTCAGGTATCTGTTGAACCACTGTGAAGCGTGTGCCTTTCTGATAGGCAGAAACTTTTTCACTATATGCAAATTCCTCTTGTTATTCGACACACCTTTTTCCTCGAGGGCATTCTTGGATATACGACTTAAGGGGAAGTTTCTAAATGTTTGGCGCGATCCCATAATCAGATCAGCACATAGCGTGAAGCTATAACGCTCCATGTTATGTATATTTTGAAGTCAGGTATGCATCTTTTAATCTTGGATTTATCTTACTAATTTGATGTCTTGTATTGATCGTTTATGAATTGACTAAATGAAATGGCATAATACACATTAACCTGATTATTAAATTATGTTTTGAATTATTCAAACAGAGTTCGTGTTAATATCTCTAGTAGATTACGTTAAGTCCATAACACCACAAGCCACTGTGCAGGTTAGTAATGGACTAAAACACGGTAGACGGAGCAGCGTGGCACGCTATACGATGTTCTTAGAGCTCAGACTAACACATTGGCATTAATTCATGTATACTTTGACTGTAAAAGGCTATCTAAGGGGACAGACCTTCATCTCTAAACTTTTAATTGAGTAGATAGCAGATCTATGGGGACCACACAAACAATGTTCTAAACTGAGTTAGTAGGGTTCTGCCTTTTTAGAATAGCGCTTAATCGCCTCTGTTAAATGACCACAACTGACCTGCATGTGTTTAAGAGATTGTATACTCGGCAGTGATGGGAAGTTCGGATCATTTTACTGACTCGGATCTTTGAGTCTCGTTCATCAAGATGAACGAATCTTTTTTCGAGTCATTTTGTTCATTTGGTTCAATTTGCCAAAATAGTATTAAAATGTTACGAAATGCTTCCAAACACATCTACAACTAGCCCAAAAGGTTGATCACACAACAAAATAAGTCATGAATACAATACTAAAAGAAGGAGAAAATAATAATTCAATGTTTACCTGCTCTTTTGTCTATGAAGGTATTGTTGTCTCTTTGCTCAGCTCACCTCTTCATGTCTTCAAATGTCAGTGGTTCATTCACAATACACTGACAGTCGCATGTAATCTTAACCAATGTACACAGTCTGAGTTGGAGGCATGATAATTAGTTCACCTTTCAAGTCTACTGGTTCTTGAGTCGTTCGTTTATCACGTGACAGAATGACTCAAACCCGAGGACTCGAGAGATGAATAGTTCAATCCTTTTTCTGGCTCTAAATGCATATGATTGGCCCGTGATGAACGAATGACTCAAACTCGATAGAGGACTCGAGAAATGAACGGATCAATTCTTTTTACGGCTCTAAACGCATATGATTGGCTTCTGCCTTTCCGCGATGAATGACTCAAAAGACTTGAATGAACGATACCACCTGCACAAACGTGCGCACGCGCGGATGAACGAATCACTCCCTGAGACGACTCGTAGTTCCCGAGTCATATTGAAGATTTGTTCAAAATGAACGAATCATTCATGAACGACCCATCCCTAATACTCGGCCTGTACAAGACTCAGGATGTTCTAGGAATCCGAATGAACGAGAATAATAAAAAATAACGAATCGAAGAGAAAATTCAATCATAATCTAAAGTAATATTAAAAGAAACAAAATTATCTTATCAATGTTTTATAAATGGAGTCAGATAAAACGAGGATAAATATATTAATATTCTAAACCACCTCATACTAAAATTCAGATATGAGTTCAGTTTAAAGTTAAGCAACATTGTGCACTGGAAAGACCGAACAGTACACCAGTAGACACCGTCATTGGACTAACTGGCTGGACCTTACAATGTATATAAAGCATAAGTCTCAAACTTGATTCCTGGAGGGCCGCAGCTCTGCAGTTTTGCTCCAACCCTAATCAAACACAGCTGATCCAACTAATCAAGGTGTTCTACTAGAGACTATTGAGCAGGTGTGAGTTGGAGGTGGTTAATACTAAACTGTGCAGAGCTGCGGCCCTCCAGGAATTCAGTTTGAGACCGTTGATATAAAGCATTTGTATAGTAAGAAGTGCTTCTTGTACGATATGTGAGCTTCAAGAAAGAATGACGTAAACACCACGCCTACCAAAAGGGTACTATTCAACACAGGCTCATTCTGAAAACGTAGTCCTGTGGATGTTTCTGGAGACCGCGAATTATGTAGCCGTAGGTACGTATGGCTGCATTTCATTTTTTTAAACGAACGCTGCAGGGTGGTGTGACGCCGTTCCTTTTCGCGCTTACCGGCTGACCGCTTACCTCCATGTGGAGGGATTTCCCGCCGCAACCTGTTTGTCCAGTTAGCTCGTCGTGTATGTCTGCGGACTTGAGACGCAGAGAGCAGTTGATGACGTTGAACGGGTTCGAGTCCGGGGAAGAGCGGTTCCAGAAAGTAGGTAAGACAAAAACAGAATCCAAAAAATAGTGAACAACAGGGTGAGAATATGGTAAAATCCGAAAACATGGTAAAAATTAGGGATTTTCTTTTTCTGGGCGGCTTTTAAAAACCATCAGTTGGGTTTAGGGAAGTGGGAGGGCGGGTCAATCGGTAGAACTGGTTGGGTTTAGGGAAGGAGGAGGGTGGGTCAGCCGATTGGCCGGTCGTCCAGTTAATCATTCAGTCATTCAGTCGGTCAGCAGCGACCTCTAGTGGGTTTACGCAAGAACAGCGCAGATGCGAATGGCACTCGCTAGGCACATTTGAGATACGAAAAAGTGCACACAGCGGCCTCTCGTGGATTCGTGAAAACAAAAAAATGCAAAATTACGTACCTCCCGGAACATATTTCACGGTTTCCAGGAATGTCCACGGGACTACGTTTTCAGAATGAGCCTGGGTTAGTACCACTGGTACCATTTGGCAGTGGAGACACACGCCTGATAAAGGTGACCCGTACCGAACCGTACCGCACTGTACCACTCAGTGGAAATGAGACATAAGCAAACGCATATCTGCAGCAGATCAACACATCACGGTTTGACGTGTTAAGAATAATGCAGTGACATTGCAAAGTGATCAAAGTGTTCAGTGAATGTTTTAATAAATGAATGCGAGTGTTCAGGTACCTGTGGGTGCAGCTGCGTGCTGTCTGCTGCTCTTGATGTCCAAGTAGAGCGTGTAGGAATCATACGCAAACAAGATCCCAGCCAGCAGACCAAACACCTGCGAGAGGGTAAGCATTATTACAAACAAGGTCACACAGACTTTAACATACAGACCACAGCTATGACAGCAGAAGCACCTTCATTTACAGGAGTAGTAAACTAAAACTGTATAAAAGGTTTAAATCTTTAAGTAAAGTTCTTCATTGAGATCTTTAACACCCTCATCATTTAAATCATCATCCTTTTTCATCATCCTCTGCAGTATGTTTTGATGCTGAATGTTGGATGTCTTGTCTTACCCCACCAGCGATGCGAGCCCCATCGCCAGTTCCACCGATCACACAGATGAGAGAGGTGATTATATAAAGTGCTGCACCAATTACAGCACGGAACAGATCCTGAAGAAGCAAACAAAGAGAATGTGAGCAGATCTCAAATATGTAGGACTCACCACCATGATGCTAGTGTGTGTGCATTTACTTACGCTCCAGAGCCAGTTCACCACCAGGAACTGTTTGTCCAGCTCCAGCATATAGACAACGAAGAAGATGATGGCAAAGACCATCTCGCAGATGGCGACCGCTGTATACCCTCCGTACATCGATGCGGCATAACAGATCAGGATGATGAAACTGAGGAGCTACAGACAAACAGAAAACAAGCATTTACATCAGTATGGATGTGAACATTTTGATCAGCAAGTCAAAAATTTGATGGTTAGCATTAGCTGTTAGCCTCTGCTGCATTTACATCATTGTGCAGGCCTAAGGCTTGTTTCTTTATTGCAGTGTTGTCATTGAGACTGTAATGAAACAAACATTGGCATACAGATCAGTTTTTTTATGTATTGTGTATGCCACAATAATCAATATATCGACTTATCGTGCAATACTTGGAGATGATCTCAATCATTTTGTTGCCATTGCAATACAGTGCATCTGGAAAGTATTGATAGCGCTTCACTTTTTCCACATTTGTTTATGTTACAGCCTTATTCCAAAATAGATTAAGTTCATTTATTTCCTCAACATTCTACACACAATACCCCATAATGACAATGTGAAATAAAGAGTTTGTGAAATTGTTGCAAATTTATTAAAAATAAAAAACCTCAAAAATCACAACAAAAAAATTCTAAATACTCTGTTGATGCACCTTTGGCAGTAATTACAAACTCAAGTCTTGTTGAATATGATGCCACAAGCTTGGCACACCTGTCTTTGGGAATTTCTGCCCATTCCTCTCTGTAGTACCTCTCAAGCTCTATCAGGTTGGATGGGAAGTGACGGTGTACAGCCATTTTCAGATCTCTCCAGAGATGTTCAATAGGATTTAGGTCTGGGCTCTGGCTGGGCCACTCAAGGACATTCACTGAGTTGTTGTGAAGCCACTCCATTAATATTTTGGCGGTGTGCTTTGGGTCATTGTCCTGCTGGAAGATGAACCGTCGCCCCAGTCTGCGGTCAAGAGAACTCTGAAGCAGGTTTTCATTCAGGATGTCTCTGTACATTGCTGCATTCATCTTTCCCTCTATCCTGACTAGTCTTTCAGTTCCTGCTGCTGAAAAACATCTCGACAGTATGATGCTGCCACCACCATGCTTCACTGTAGGGATGGTATTAGCCTTTTTCATATTTAGTTTTGTAAGAAATTTAGTTTTTTATGGTCTGAGAGTCCTTCAGATGCCTTTTGGCAAATTCCTGGCGGGGAGTGGCTTCTGTCTGGCCACTCTACACTCTCAGAAAAAAAGGTACACGGTGGTACAAATAACGTTCCTTGAGGGCCAGTTTTGTACCCGTGTAAAAGTTGTACCTTATATGGTACAGAAAAGGCCTCTTATGATACTGTTCTGTACCTTTTATGGTACAATTGAAATGAAGGTACATAATTGTTCTCATAAAAAGGTACACTCTCAGAAATAAAGGTACAGGAGCTGTCACTGGGGCAGTACCTTTTCAAACGGTACATATTTGTACCTGAAGGGTCCATAATGGTACTTCAGAGGTACTAATATGCACCTTTTAGGTACCACTGTAGACTCTTTGAGTACAAATATGTATCTTTTGAAAAGGTACTGCCCCAGTGACAGCTCCTGTACCTTTATTTCTGAGAATGTACATAAGTGTTGGACAACTCCTTCTTTGTTACAATATCTATGAAAATAAATATTACTGGAGAGGCAAAGTGATTTATGAATAATTTCCATATCAAAACAAGAATCATCATTTAAAAGCATATGTTTAAATAAACTCATAAACAATAATTATTAAGTTCTATAATGCAATAATACAAAACAACTGGTACACATCATGTTCTTAAAGGTACAAACTGCAATGGTACAAATTTGTTTCTTTGTCTTGAGGTACAATTCTGTCCCATAAAAAGGTACTGCCCCAGAGACAAGGGTTTGTACCTTCTTTGGTACAACATTGTACCACTTTTTCTGAGAGTGTACCATACAGGCCTGATTGGTGGATTGCTGCACAGATAGTTGTCCTTCTGTAAGGTTCAATTACCTGTAAAATAATGGTTTAGAATCTAGACTGCAGACAATTACCTGTAAAATTATGTTTATTTTTTTACAGTGTACTTTATATAGAGGGCAGAGTGTTGCTAAAGAACTACTGAGAGATTTCAGCTGCTGTCTGGGCTTTCACTGCCTTTCTGCACCTCCCTTCCTTCATGTGTTCAATACTTTTTCTCTGCGTCATTTCATTTATTACGAATTTTTAAACTAATTAGTTTTGTTTTCTTTACATAAATGGATTTCTTTGGCTAATATCAACATCTTATCTGAGCAAAATGGTGACGTGTTCAATACTTATTTTCCCTGCTGTATATAACAGAACTCATTTTGCTGGTCTTTTCTTAGCATCAGTGTGCTTCCCCCAATTCATTTGGCTTTTTAGTGTGGAAATTCTCCCTTGTAAGTACAGTACGTCATTCATGTTTGCTGCCAAATCACCAAAGCTTTTTACTACCGTTCACAATCCCTCAGAAGGACCCAGCTGCTCTAGGTGTCGGTTAACAGTGGAGCTCTGAATTTCACACATCCCCTAAAGTTTCTAAAGTTTTCAGAAGCTCTGATTGCTAAAACATGTGGCACGCACTACAGAGAGGAAAAAACAAGTGTAAACAGCACAATTCATTCAATAGAAAGTCCTTATATGGTTATAAATGAAGAATACATTTGGGAGTACAGGGATATTATGAAGTTAAAATCAACTCAGTCCTTGCTTAAACTCAAACAGTCGATACATGTATTTGCAGATCCTGTCAGGCAACACTAAACTCTAAATCAACACTGCCAGCAACGTCTACTAGGAGAAGTTTGTTTCTTGTTCGTCAGACTTCATGGATAATCTCTGGCTCATGGTTTGTTTTTAAGCTCCAAGGAAAGGAAAACAATGTGATATTTGAATTCTTTTTAACATGTTTACTAGGGCTGGGTGGTCAATACTGTGGAATAAATTGTTAACCGTAATAAATGTAATTTTTTTGTGTATGCCGCAAGATGTAAACAAGTAGGCGTTACTAATTAACATATAATGTGCGTGAGGGAATCGCTGACAGGAGCTTAACTTACATCAATTGGTACCGGACTGCACAACAAAATTATGAATTATTTCAGTTTTATTTATAATCAGAGTCTGAAAGATCATTATCATATAATGATATCATTATCATTATTTTGAAAAATGATAATTAAACATTCATTCATTTTCTTGTCGGCTTAGTTCCTTTATTAATCTGGGGTCGCCACAGCAGAATGAACCACCAACTTATCCAGCATATGTTTTACCCAGCCTATGCCCTTCCAGCTGCAACACATCACTGGGAAAATAACTAAACATATTAAGTTGAACTTACTTTTTAGTTTAAATTAAGTTGCAAAATTGTATTACTATTATTCAAATAAGTTAAAGTAACATTAAACATTAGTTGTAGTGACCTTTTGTCATATACAATGTTTACAGTGTAGTGGCTAATGTGTTTAGCCTTCAACTTCTGGTGACTAGGCCTCAGAATTAAAAAAAGTTGTGTCTATTTGTGAGAAAACCTGTTGCCAAAAGTTTCGCCTACAAAATGTGTCACCACCACAACCCTCTACTCAAGTGCTTCTAAGTACTTTCACCAAGTACCACCATAATCAACAGTGTTGAAATAAAGTAGCATAGCTGGCTAAAATAAGCAGCTACAGCGCTGCACGGTTAGAAAATGAGTCATATTCATTTAACTAAATTAATTCCATACAAAATATGATATCAGTCTTGTCACGTGACTTGCGGTGCAGCATTCTGAAAAGTTACGATGTTTTCAACTGGGCATGCCTGGAATACGCAAGCATGTTGTGCTGCAGTTCTTACTCATTTTGCTAGCCTGTGGGTTCAATTTTGGCACTCAAGTGACTGAGATGTAACAAGAGAATAAGGTCATTTTTCAAAATAAATGATGTTTCAGACTCTGATTATAAATAAAACTGAAATAATTCATAATTTTGTTGTGCAGTCCGGTACCAATTGATCTATAGACCGGTGTCGGTCTGTGGCCCGAGGGTTGGGGACCACTGCTCTAGCACGTATCTGCCCTGCAAGCACCACACACCTCTTTCTCTAGTTGTGCATCATTTGGATCGATTTTTAGCAGCTGATGACGCGATGCACTAAAGTAAACATTTTAAACACATCGCTTTGATCGTAGGCTTTAGAGAACAGCCAATGCTGATCACATTGGTGTTATTTAACGCATCAAATGATTAAAATTGTATATATTTTTTCTTATAATTACTCAGTGATTCCTCCTCGTACCACTAGAAGTAAGCCCTACCACAGTTTGAAAACCCCTGCTCTACTCCATTTCTACATTACAGATTTTTCTAAGACATTTGTATTTTTTATTTATGATTACCTAAATTCCTCAAGTCATACTAACTAATACTTATTTATTAATATTTGCTTGTTTAATGCCTGTAGTCTAGACAGTTCGAGGGTTCTTCTCCTCCTGAAGTGTTATTTATGTTGCCATGGTGTTAATGATTTCTACACACACACACCACCGTTCAACACCTGTGCCTTTTATTTGCGAGGTGCTGCTGCCATAGCAACAAAAGCAAAAGCACACACACAAACACACACACACACACACACACAAACACAAGTGTGAGGATAACGACTCAAACAGGAAGATTATCAAAGTGTTAAGAGGCCAGTTTCCTGTTTACCCTCACTTGGAGAAACAAAATTACGTTGTAATAGCAACATATATAGCAACAACAATATTCAAAATGAATATTCATCTATATTCTAAATGTGTGAATGATTTATGCATGCTTTATGGATTTATGCTCCTATTGAATAAACATTAAGTGATGATTTAGCAAAATTTGGTCACTTAAAGGGACAGCTCACCCAAAAATGTCAATTCTGTCACCATTTACTCACCCTTCACTTCTCCTCAACCTGTTTGCAGGGTTTCTACAGGTTTCATCAAGTTTCAATTTTAGACTTTTTGAGACCATTATGAATGAAATTTCAGACTTACTTAAGGCTAAACGCTAAAGCCTCGGTCAGATGACACGATTATTGTTGTCGGTTATGAAAGTCACTTTGTCAGCTATTTTTTTTCTTTATAAAATATTGG